TCGGTATTTTCTAAATCTTTTCTTTTTTTTTTCATTTTCCAGCCATCTATTCTTTACACTTTTTTTTTCGTTTTACACATTTTCTATAATTTCTCTATTTTGTTCTTTATTTATTTATTATTTTTCTTTCTTTCATTCTTTCTTTCTTTCTTTTCTTTTCTTTTCTCTTCTCTTTTTCTTCCTTTTCTTATATTCCCCCAATTTTTTTTCAAAATATTTTCATTTATTTACTTGTGCTTCCCCCTTTTAATTTTCTTTCTTTCTTTCTTTCTTTCTTTCTTTCTTTCTTTCTTTCTTTCTTTCCCGCTTCTATTTTTTACACATTTCTTTCTTTTCTTTTTTCCTTTCTTCTTATTTTCCCTATTTAATGCCTTTCGTTCCTTCGTTCTTTCTTTCTTTCTTTCTTTCTTTCTTTCTTTCTTTCTTTCTTTCAATCTTTCTTTCAAAAATTATTTTTTTTTAAATGTAGATTCTCTTCTTATCAGTTTATATATATATTTTTTTCTTTCCTTCAAAATATACGTTCTTTCTTCCATTGTAACTTCACTATTTTCTTTATTTCTTGATAAAGGATTTACAAAATGAATTGCTTTTCTTTTCAATACATTTTCCTTGTTTTTATTCTTTCTTTCTTTTTCTTTCGTTCATTTTTACTTATTTTTTCTTTACCTTTCCACGCATCTTGTTTCACAACTTTGAACAATTTTTCTTCGTTTTCTTCATTTTTTCTTTTTCTGTTTTTTTTTTCTTTGTTTTTTTTTTTTTTTAATATTTCCATTTATTTCTTTGTGTTTTTCTTCTCTTTCGTTTTTAAGTTATTTTCACTCTTTTGCCTTCTTCTTATTCGATTCGGCATTATGGCTTCCTCTTCACTCTCTACCGGTCATTTCATATTTTTCTTTTTCTCCTGTTTTTTTTTTTCATTTTCTTTCTTTCTTTCTTTCTTTCTTTCTTTCTTTCTTTCTTTCTTTCTTTTGTATAATTCCCTATCTTTTTTCTCTCCTCTCACGTTATCTTCTTTCCTATCTATTTTTTTTTCTCTTTCTCCCTTCTTTCGCGCATTTTTTACTATTTTTTTACACTTTTTCTTTCTTACTTTTCTTTTTTTTTTTCTTATTTTCCATATTTAATTTTTTTTCTTTTTCTGCCTGTCGCTCTTTCTTTCTTTCTTTCTTTCTTTCTTTATTCTTTCTTTCCCGCTTCTATCTTTTACACATTTCTTTCTTTTCTTTTTTCTTTTCTTCTTCTTATTTTCCCTATTTAATGCCTTTTGATCCTTTCTTTCTTTCTTTCTTTCTTTCTTTCTTTCTTTATTCCTTCTTTCTTTCTTTCTTTCTTTCCCGCTTCTATTTTTTACACATTTCTTTTTTTTCTTTTTTCTTTTCTTCTTCTTATTTTCCCTATTTAATGCCTTTTGATCCTTTCTTTCTTTCTTTCTTTCTTTCTTTCTTTCTTTCTTTCTTTCCCGCTTCTATTTTTTATACATTTCTTTCTTTTCTTTTCTCTTTTCTTCTTCTTATTTTCCCTATTTAATGCCTTTCGTTCTTTCTTTCTTTCTTTCTTTCTTTCTTTCTTTCTTTCTTTCTTTCAATCTTTCTTTCTTTCTTTCTGCTAATATTTTTATCGGCGAGTTTCGAGCAATATATCCGAAACTGTCTCAACTATTCTTGTCTACTTCCGCTTCCGTTGATCTTTGGCATGAACGAGAACTTCCATTTTCTCCGACTCCGAATCCGACTCAGCTAAATACGATCCCCGCTTATCCTAATTTTGCACCATCAAAATATCGTCTGCACTGATCAAAACCGCAATCCTATAAAATGCGTTCAAAATGAAACCACTTTGTTCAGGCAATGTTACATTTTTTTCACTGTTCTTATTATAACGGGTCCCATTTCCTCACCACGAATAAAACTCACAATAAGCCACAGGAAGAGTGTCAGGGTTCATGAAAATCCAGTAACAAAATCACAAGTAAAATATCGATACTGAATGGCCGAGATATCTAATCTACAATTTGTAGATAAATTGTCGATATTTTCAGTCTATTTTTATGCGACTCAGGGACAAGGATTCAGGCAGATATATGTACCCGAGAAGGTTCTGTTCCAACTCTCGTTTTCTTGAGACAAACGAAATGAATAATTGGTTGACGAGCAGTAGAGGAATTTGTACGTGTTCATGTTATACTGTTGGTGGAATATGAGAGAAAGGAATCTGGAGCTGTATATTTACATCAAGTTTTGTGTAAAGATTGGTGAAAGTACTAAGGAAAATGGAACTCTATCAAATGGCTTATGGGCAACATGCTATGACGAATTGAAGAATGTTCGTGTGGCCCAGGATGTTCGAGTAAGAGCGAGAAGATGTTCATGTGAAGGCAAAAAGTGGTTAATCAAAAACACAAGGAATAGATGCAAACATATATTTGGATGTGCTGAAAGGGTTATGGCAAACAGTTCAAAGGAAAAGGGACTACCTTGCCAATTTTATTTCGCTCCATATTTTCAGGTTTCACTAGACCCTGAAAATAAAATACATTACAATTACATTTGACATCAAACTTTATTCGCTAGTCTTAGCTTTCAGTAAGTTTTGGCTATTTCCAAAATTGAAGAAATTCCCTGAAAGGACAAATATTTCTTGATATCCAGTTACGTTTGACTATATTACTGAAACATTGTCCAGGATACAAATTCCATGAATGTTTTTTGCCAAGGTTAAATCACTCACGAATTGCATCGTTTCACAAGGAGAGAAATTTCAAGGTGACAACAACCAATTTTGAAAAGTAAACCAACTTTGTTTTCACATGGTTTTTGTTTGCTTGTTTTTGTTTAGCGGTATATATACCCGTATATGGTATTTAAAGCCAGAATCTAAGTATTTTCTACATAATTATATTTTATTTTATTTTTTAAGATAGTACTAATTTTAGTGATAGAAGTCTTTCTAATTAACCCATAGCTAGGGGGAGAAGTGGTTTATTCATACCTTTTTTTCCAAAGGTATTTGCTTAATTGAATATAACAGACCCAACGGGAATTCAGCTCTCTGATTATCAATTCCGAGCCATTATACGACACGCCACCCGCACATCCAAGCTTCCAGCACTTGGTATTCGCAAGCGGTCACTCATCTAGGTACTAAGCAGATGCGATAAAACAAAAAAAATATATATATACCCGTCTCAATATTTAATCGATACGCATGTATTTTCTTTTTCATGTTTCACTTTTAATTGAGTCTGTACAAAAAATTACTTTACTCGATCGAGTTCTAAGGAGTGTGGAAGAATAAACGGTTAGCTATTTCTGTTATCTTTTATTATTATTCTCAGATTTCATACTGCCGCTTTTTGCTATGAAAATTATGTTTCGCCAATCTTTTCGTACTGATTAATTGACCTATTTGCAACTTAATAACAACCCTTTTCCGGTTATTTAAAACTCGAAAATATTTTTTAGTTTGTAAGAATTTTTTTAAAATAATAATGATTTAGTGATACAAGTCTTACTATTTAACCCATAGGTGGAGGGAGAAGAGGTATATTCACACCTTTCGCGGAAATGAGTATAACGAACCCAACTGGAATTAGAACGCGGCTCTCCGATTAACAATTCCGAGCCATTATCCATTACACCAACCGCACACCCAAGCTTACAGCACGTGGTATTCCTAAGTAGTCACCCGTCTAGGTACTGACAAGTCTTGACGTTGCTAAAATGAAATCGCTCACGAATTTCATCGCTTCCCAACGAGAGAAATTTCAAGTGACAGTCTATATTTCTTAGATGAGCTATTATGTACAATATTTACATTATTCGGACTATTGTCCTCAGCTTTGTCGCCATATTTATTAGAAAGTTTCGGCCTTTTATTATCTGTCTATATTTCTGAGATGAGCTATTTTGTACACTATTTACATTATTCGAACTATTGCCCTCATATTTGTTGCCATATTTATTACAACGTTTCGGCCGTTGTACGCTCCGGTCTTCGTCAGTTGGTTGGAATGTCGAAATGAACCCTTCATTTCGCTCACTGAGGTAGACTGTTCTAGTTCTATGTGCCATGTCTGATGGATGTCAGTTATCAGTTATCTCCAGTTAATTCACTTCTCCAAGTTCTTCACTGCCTCAACCACATATTGAACTCACAACTCTTTAGTTCTTGTCACTGGATCTAACTAACGACTTTATCCACTGTGTCATGTGTCCTTGTGAATTAACAGGAGATAGCTGATAACATTAGACATGGCACATCCATTAGACATGTGGAAATATGTCTGCTGACACTTTCGTAGGCAATTCATCGCAAGAAGAGGCGGCGGCTGTTCGTATGATTAGAAGCACAAGGTTTAAGTGACCTACCCCTGTTTGTCACCAGTGTGATCATGATTATCAGCGGGGAGTGTGACGAAAGAGAAAGTCGTTTATTGCAAAAAGGGCACGTATGTTTTGTACGATATGCCTTTGTCGGTCCAAACCCGTCAACAAGTGAGGCTGACAGCGATTCCTCTAACAATGATGGACTGCTCGAAATGAGAGATGCCTCGAGTATGTTCTCGGAAGAAAGCGACGCTCTGCCTGTTGCATACACATCTGATGACCCTTTCGGGGACGATTCATCGGAAGAGGAAACGATAGTTGTTCGCATGAGAAGTAGCACAAGACTTAAGAGACCCACCCCTGGTTGTCACTAGTGTGATCATGAGATCAGTGGGGAGTGTGACAAAAGAGAAAGTCATTTATCGTGAAAAAGGGTACGCGTGTTCAACACAGAGTACAAAACACGGTTACCCTTTACAAGACAATATAACCAAAATGAATTATAAGTCTGTAGCAGCTGTTACTTCAAATCAGTCTCGCATATACTTTGTCCTCTTCAAACGTCGACTAATGAAAAGTAATAATTCCGTAGATAAAAGTGTTTGGCATTGTAAAAATGGCGAGCATCGCGTTCGTGATTATTTTGCTTTTTAGTGTGTTTTGGTTGACATGTGACTGTTGGGCGGTGTGGTGGATTTCTAGCCATTTATATCTATTGGGATTCTTTATATTGTATTTACGATTTGTGATTTCGACATTACTTTCTGACCCCTGGATCTTAAATTTTGGACATGCAATTTGTTTGTTCCGCCTTGAACTTGAGCTACCACGTCAATTTCCTAACAATACTTTTTTGATAAATAAACGGAACGTCAGCGCAAATACGGGTATCCAGAAAAAAAAACAAGGTCTAAGTAATGAAATATTTAACATTGTATAAACAAGACTATTTGAGGATTAAAGATTAAAAAAAGATCTCCTGTCAAATAAATAGCCAAACAGGTTGTTCGAAATATGTGGTCTTCAAAAGGCTGGGCTAGGAATGTCCTCGCAGTCACTTTCCCCTTCTCCGTCACTGACAAGTAGTCAGCAAAATATCCCTACTGAAGGCAACAGAAGCAGTCAATACAGACCATGTATTGTGCTAGCTATTACTACAAGAAAACCCTTCTTCTGATTGAAAATACCTTTGAACTGTCTTTCATTTAAACACCGAGACAGTGTAACTTTGGTTATTGGACAGAAGAAAGCCATGAAAACTAACGCAGTAACACAACCGATAAAGCCAACAACGAAATAACGACTGTAGTTGCCCAAACACCAGTTCTAGCCACATATATTAACGTGACAATATCAGGCACGCACGCACGCACACACACACACACACATACATACATACATATATATATATATATATATATATATATATATATATATATATATATATAGGGTGTCCCAAAATAATGTATAAACTCTTTAAATATTAATAATTAATAATACATTTTTTTATATGGATGAAAATATTCAAAACAGATGGATTGGAAGAAGAGGGACAGTTGAATACCCACCTAGATCCCCAGATTTGACATCCTTGGATTTCTTTTTGTGGGAGTTTCTAAAAGACAAAGTTTACAGCAGGAAACCTGAAACAATTGCTGAATTGAGAGTAGTAATTGAAGAAGCATGTGCTCAAGTGTGCTCCAGAGGAAATGATACTGGACTTTTGTAGGTCTCCAAGTTATGAAAAGTGTATTGAACAGAACGGCAACCAGTTTGAGCACTTGATATGAACTTATCATTATATGAACATTCTGCCATTGCCACAACTAGCTTTTTTAGTTAATTTTCTATGTTTTTTGTATAATTTACTCTCAAATTCTTTAAATGTGTATTCTTCCTCTTGTATTAATCTTATTTACAAGTCAAAATGAATAAATTGAATAAGTTATAGCGATTCAAACAGTGTATATTTTATTTTGGAACACCCTGTTTGTGTGCATATATATATATATATATATATATATATATATATATATATATATATATAGTCGATATTAAATTTGTCAAATTTTCTCAATTACAAAGCGGCCCTTTAAGTAAACGCAATTTCACTTTTCTTCGCCCCATCCCTCTCCCCCACCTCGTCTTTCCCTCCCTCTTATTCTAACATTAAATTGTCTATGGTGTGTGTATGTCACCACG